CCTAGTATATTTCAGTACGGGCCCCGCCCCGCCCGCCGCCCGCACCCCGGACCCCGCCCCCGGCCGGCCAGACGGGAGGGGCTCGGTGGGCACCTTCCCGGTCCTCAGCGGGTGGGGGAGGGCGGGGCAGGTTCTCACACACTTCGTAAATAGGGAAACTGAGGCCCCGGGCGCCCGCTCCCCTCCCCTACAGAAGCTTCCCCTCCCAGTTCTTTGCAACGCTTGCTCATGCCCACTCAGACTTCCAGTCACGACTGAAATGTCACCTCCTCAGCGTGTCTTCCTCAACATCCTCCCCATCTCCTCTCCTCTGCATAATTACAGATTTGTGTGACCCTTAATTAAAGTCTGCCCCTGTCCTAGACCCCAGGCTCCCTGAAGTCACACTGTGGCTTGACTCCTCCCATTACTTCCCCTGGGCCCGGTGTAGGTGCGGATATATATTGGCTGTAGGCTGAATATTGAACAGGTATGTCTTTCACCTTAAAGGCTCAGGCTGGGAAACGGATTCAGCAGCGGTGAGGGAGGGCACGGCACAATGCAAGGGTTAACTGTGAGGCTAGGAATAGTAAGAATGGAGGTTGAGCTTCTGAGTGAGTACTGGGTTCAGATCTCGTTAATAGCAATAACTCAACACCTCCCAGCCTCCATTAACCTGCCCTGGACTACCCCAGGCTGGGGCCTGCCCGGCCCTCCAGCACGGACTTAATCCAGACTCAAGATCACGTTATTTCCCAAACCCTGCCCTTGTTTCTGCCTTTGGCCCCTCCCACCACCGCTTCCATTCACCAATCCTCGGGGAGCAGAGCGTTACACGCCTCTGAAAGGCTGAAGGCTCCTGGAGGGCTCAGGAGAGGCGGGCTGGGGGTCTATCCGGAGACTAGAGGAAATGCCTTTATTTTCCCTGGGGGATCAAAGAAACTGCCAATTGCTGGACTTTGGTCTAAGCGAACTGGCCGGTTAGGTCTGCTGGAAAGAAATGATTTTGTGGAGGAAGGAACGGCGGGTTCATAAGAAAGAGGGTCAACCTCATGGAGATGCCCCGAGATTCTGATTCTGGAGGCCTAGGGGTATAGCCTGAGCTTTTGGGGAGTTAAGCACCAACGTGATTTGCTTGCACAACCAAGGGTGAGGGGTTCCACCTCTCCTAGGCTCCTGAGTTTTCTAAAGTTTGGGCTCAGACCCCCAGTGAATCAGAAAGCTGGGGCTGAGGCCCAGGAACCTGCATTTCTGATACCTTCCCCCTACCTGCCCATCTCAGTTTGAGAACTCCCTTAGTATTCCATGCTTCTTTCAATCCTCACATCCACACTAAGAGGAAAGTCCTATCACCCCCATTTTACAGATGAAGAAACAGAAGCTCAGCCACTGCCCAAGGTCATCCAACTTGGAAAGAGCAGTGGTATATATACCCACCTGCCAAGAATGGAAATGGTAGGGTGGATGGGGCAGAGGAGGACCTGCTAAATCTGTGGCCTCCAAGAGGAGTTAGGAAGGTGGGGAGTTCCCATTCGCTCCCCCACCCTGACCTGGCAGTCCGGGCATGCTCATCTCTCTAGGACAGAAGGGAAGACCAGGAGAGACTGTGTCCCAGAGTGCCCGGCTGGGCCCCTTGAAGCTCACATGGTGGCTATGTCCTGCTCAGCCAACTTGCCACTCCCGGGGAGGAACTCATTTCTCAGGCTTTTGTCCAGAGTGAGGGAGGCCTGGGAAAGGGAAAGGTGCCTCCCTGCTCCGCTATGTTCCTGCGGGTCCTGCAGGAGAAGCCCTCGGGGGCCTGGGACCACAATGGCCCACTGACCATCTGCTGGCTGCCGGTGGCCCAGGCGGACGTGGCTTCCTCACAGTGCCATAGCCACCTACCTTCCTCCTCGTTTGTGCAGCTGCCGGCTGCCCAGGATTCGCTTTGAGCTTGTCAACAGCACCAAGAAGGGAGGCAGGCAGGTCATTCTCGGGTGACAGGAGCACACCGAGGCTTGGGAGTGGGAGAGGGACGTAATTTCCAGGTGCCCAGGCAGCAATACTCAGCTTGGTTATTCAACAGGTTCATCTGGGGAGCTGGTTACAAATTCAGACGTGGAGCCCCACTCCAGCCAACCACACTGTCTGCATCTCTGACAAGTGCTGGCCGAGAACTCCATCCCTTCGCTACAACCCTGACAGGCAGGCAGGAGTGATACCAGGGGGCACTGCAGTCTCCATCAGGACCCCAGCCACCGCTAAGAAACATTTCTGCTTCCTAAGAACGATGTGCTTGCAGTGCCAAAGAAGCTTCCAGACAGATCCCCGGCCGGCCTGTCCTTTAACGGAAGTATAAGCCCTTTCCACCGGGACCCCTCTGCAGGAGGTGTGGCTTCCACGATTTACAGGTGAGGAGGTCAAAGCTTAGAGAAGGGACAACTTGTTCAAGGTCACACAATGAGTAGGGGCAAGGCTGGGATTAGGCATGGAGAACCCAGGCCTTGGCGCTCAGATCCTCAAACACTGCCACCCCAGAGCCATGGGTGCAAGGAGGGGAGGGGAACGTCTGACCCAGAGAAGCACCTGGGTCAGTGGGGGTGGCCGAGCTCTGACTGAATGGTGGGAGTGGCCGGCACAGGGCACCTGGCCTCCGGCCCGAGCCGACCTGGCCCTAAGAGGGAACCTCTTGCAAGTTTCTGGTTGGGCACCTTTGAACAAAGCCATTTCGTATTTTCAGGCGCTGGATATGCTGAGAAGCGGCTTAGGTACCCAGTGGCTGGGACTCCCCCATCCCTCACATATCAGGGCACGGGCGGGGGGAAGGCAGGGCCTGGCCACCTCCAGCTGCCCTGCAGTCAGTCCTGGCCCGGGCAGGACTGCAGGACCCTCTGCCGGGGTTCAGCTCCCTAACAACTCAAGACCGCCTCCCATTCTTCCCCTCCTTGCTCCAATTCTTGCCCAGAGCTGGTGCTGACAGCCCCCACCCTGCTGGTGATTCCACTCAGGTAGGTCACAGTCTAGCCTCCTTGCAACTTGCTGCTGAATCACTATATCCCAGGGAGCCGCAGGAAGCAGAAGGGGAGGGGAAGGCCAGTCTCCCTCTAGTGCCGCCAGAAGCTAATGTAATTGCAAAGGCTCCCAGGCTGTATCCTGACCTGGTCCCAACAGGCCACTCAGCCTTCTCCACAACTGGTACTGAGGATGACTAAGCCCCCAGGTACAGTGACCCGGCCATTCCAGGCAGACTGGGACAGTTGGCCAGCCTCTGGTCCATAGGTCTGGCCTGGCTGGGGGGGAGAGGGGTGGAGTTCCTCCAACACAGCACTGTACCCCTCCCTCATCTCAGACTCCTGAGGCCTCCCCCATCCCCTCCCCCACAATCTCGGGATATAAACAGTTCATCTCCTGTCCCTGCCTCTAGGGTGCAGGGGACAGGTTCCGGAAGCAGAGAGAGCCCAGTTCAACCCTCTGCTACTTGCTGGCTGGGTGGCCATCTTGAGCCTCTGTTTCTCTATCTGTAGAATGGGGATAATAACAGTACCTTAAGATTTAGGGAAGATGAAATGTACAGTATACATAAAAGGGCTTGCGTAGTGCCCGGCCCAGAAAATGCCATATAAATTGTCCTTGTTATTAGTCTTTCACACCTGGAACTGACCCCACCTCAGTTGCTAGCCAAATGGCAAAGTCCTGTTTAAACTTGGACGTCACCATGATGCAGCACAGTACCAAGCAGGGGCAACTCCAGCCCCGTTTGCAGAGTTTTGCGCTTTCGCAGACACCAAACAAGGCTGCTCTCTGCCGAGCGCGGTCCACCCAGGAAGAGCCCTTTTCCACACAATGAACGTCTGAACAGGGCTCGTCTGGCTACAACCATACTTTCAGGGAGACACTGACCCCTAGGAATTGGCATGCCTGGGCTCACTTATCAGGTGCCTTTAACCTCCCAGAGTGGCCTACTCTCTGAGCCCCAAGCCACAAGACATGAAGGTCCTGCATTTTCATGCTATGGCTGAAAGGTGGGTCAGCTTACTTTCCCCCCCTTTTTTCCCACTTTAATTTCTCTGGGTAAGACACGCTGCTCTCCTCCTGCAGACGTTCTAGTGAAGGGGCTGGGCTGGAGACAGCAAAGCGCATGAGGCCGGAGGTGGGGGGCAGGAAAGGCAGTTAACAATTCCTACCTACTGGTCACCTATCTTGGCACACGCCGTCCCACTCTCTGCCCTCCCCTGAGAGTTCCTGGAACCCATGTGACCTTCAGGGCTTGGAAACAGGCAGGGGTGGTGGTAACCCATTTTATGAATAGGAAGACTGAGCTCCTGAGGGCTTCCGTGGTTTGCCCAGCCTCCCGAAGCTGAAGTGACATTGCTGATGGGGTCCTCCCCACCCTGAGGCCCGCCGGGGAGCGGGCTGCAAGAAGGGGATGCAGGAGCATCAGGGACAGGTTCTTGCTGGGGAAAGGAGGCGGCCGTCCTGCCAGTCAGGGATCCCCCGGGGTAGGAGAGCCGCTGAGGGTCTGGCCAGGCCAGCTCTGTGGAAGGACGCTGAGTCCCTGCCAGGTGGAACTCTGAGTCCTCTGCTGCCTGCCACCCCCTCTCCCTCCCATTCTTGCTCCCATTGGAGAGTGCCCTGACAGAGGAGGACACGCACGCAGGAACTTCCAGCCTGATGTTCTCACCCTCCTGTCTGCTGGCTGACATTGGCCGCTCGGCCCAGGACGCCCGTCTGCAGGGCCTGCTGCTGCTTGAAACTGCGTGAGAGGCCTGCTGGCTGGCCAGCCGGCTGGCTCTGGAGGTGAC